TTTTTTTTTTTTTAAGAGGACAAGAGCGGCGAGGTCTATCGCGATAGCTTAATTTCTCTATCGAGTAAAAGTTATATCGCGATACATATCGTTATCGTTCTATCGCCCAGCTCTAACAAGTAGGTTACATAAAATGTCATAAAAGGGAACAGAGTGTGTTAAAACAGAGTGTTGAAACAGCTGTGTGAGCTGCAGCTTGTGAAGCTGTATAGAGAAGATATGGAACAACTGTGCATGAATCATTTCATCCAGGAATATGTTTCACAGCGAGGTTGTCTCTGTCTTTAGCTTTTGCAGAGTTTGATGCACCTGTCGGTTCGTCCTCCCTCCAGGCTGAAGCGCAGGTAGTTCATCCCATCCAGGTACTGTCCTGGCAGGGAGTCATCTCCCAGCTCCCGCAGATCCTCAGGCCTCAGATACTCCCCTCCGTCGCCTGTCATCGTGTCGTCACCTTAAGAAGCAGAGAAATGAAACTATCAATGAAAAACCCACAACTATAACCAACCACTGATGAGAAAACGCAGTGACGCACCTTGATGTTGGGATATTGTTAGAAATATTTTGGACACAAGTCAACAAATCTGTAATTGTGCTTGTTTTGGTTTTGATATTCACAGGTGGAAACATCACAGCCAGTTATTTTACAAACAGGACATTTGAAGATCTGGCTGAAAGTGGAAAACAGACATGGATGTGGCTCATGAACAATAAACACAGAGTAAGAAATCTACGTGTTTATCACAGAAACAGCCGCAGGTTCGCTGGTAGCTTTATTTTGGAGGTAGCCGTTTAGTCACAGTCGTAATGCATTAACACGCTTCCCCTTTGCAAGGTAAACAAATCGAATGTGTTTAGTGAGGCCAGTGGCTGCTGCGTCTGCCTGTACAGGAAATCTCAACGCGTCGTCAGCTTTGTGTCTCTAGTTAAGAAAACCTTTCACAGTTTAGTGGCTGCACTGACGTGCACTTCATAGCTTCTCGCTACAGCATCTCTATATTCGACTGTATTCTCATGCTTCGATTGAGGACTGTGCAAAGCCACTGTAAGGCTTATGTTAACTGCATAACAGTGATTCAGCACTATTACTGTTCCACTACTGCACAGCAGGGCTCAGCGTCGCTGTTGGCTGCAGGACGCAGATGTTCAGCATGACTGCGTGCAGGCGATTAGTGGAGTCAACCCTCTGACTGTGTTCATGTATTATAACAGACATACACATGGATTGGCACTTATAAGTATATTTATACTGAGCATATTTCACCCATGTGCACATTCACAAAGCACTTTATTTTTACGTTTCGCTGTTTCTGAGCTGCCAGGCTCACTGAAATGTTGAAGCCTCAGCAGCAATCTGGGGTCCAGCGGGTTCAGCGAGGACACGATAACAGCTGGAGGAGGCGGGAATCGAACCGCTGATGTTCCCGTTAGTAATGAGCTACAGCTCTGCAGCACTACTGTCATGCAAACAGGTTTTAACTCATACTTTACATTTAGAATAACTCTGGTTTGCAAATTTTGGTGCATTAAAAGACAAATCAATAATATTATTATTTTTTAATATGCAACATCTTTCCAAATTCATGCAAGCTAGTGGCTAACATTATCCAAG